TTCTGAAAAATGCCCATTTCTGTGTAACAGTTCTCTTCAGTCTGCCAGCATGCAGAGAGAAAGGCCAACAGTGAGAGATGAGCTGAGAGAGAGGAAACAGACACACAGACACCTTTTTAAAAAATCTATAGCACCTTTGGGGCGCCTGGGTGGCTCAGTGGGTTGAGCGTCCGACTTTGGCTCAGGTCATGATCTTGCAGTTTGTGGGTTTGAGCCCTGTGTCGGGCTCTGTGCTGATGACTCAGAGCCTGGAGCCTGTTTCAGATTCTGTGTCTCCTCTCTCTTTGCCCTTCCTCTGCTTGCTCGCTGTCTCTCTCTCAAAAATAGATAAACATTAAAAAACTTAAAAAAAAAATCTATGGCACCTTTTCTTGGATTTTAAATGAAGACATGAAAAAAAATTTAAGGTAAAAACAAATATTGAAATCCACCAACCTCTGAATTTCTGTGAGATTACTCACTCTATTTTTCTTCTCTATGTCCCCTGCAAATAACTGTCACTATTTTGTAATGATACTCTTTCAAAAGCTAGTTAATCGAAAAATTTTTTTCTTCTCTCATTAGAAAGCTAAATTGTCTGTCCTGTGATAATTACTCACCCCTGAATACTTCCCAGCTTGGTTTCTACTTTATCCAGACTCACTCCATTTCCCTCACTTAGGGTTCTTAAAAATACTTGTTTCAAAAAAACATCTTAAAACGGTCTTTAGAAACTCTGTCTCTGCCTCTCATTCCAATTATCTGTCAGTAACTGAAGTTAACCCTCCCTCAACCACAAATACTGGATCTAACATGGATTCTCCTGTAATTTCATTACATATCCTTTAAAAATTTTTTTTGTTAATGTTTATTTATTTTTGAGAGGGAGGGAGAGAGAGACAGAGGCAGAGAGACAGAGACAGAGAATGAGTGGGGGAGGGGCAGAGAGAGGAGACACAATCTGAAGCAGGCTCCAGGCTCTGGGTTGTCAGCACAGAGCTAGATCTAGGGGCTCAAACTCACAAACCCATGAGATCATGACTTGAGCTAAAGTGACTAAGCCACCCAGGTGCCCCTCATTACATATGCTTGACAAGGATTCATTTATAGTCTTAAATGAATGATAGATGTGGTCATGGGTCTAAAAAGCTATTCAGAATCCCTTTCAAAAACTATTTTTATGAAAATAAGAAGAGAGAAGAAAAGGAGAGGAGGAGGAGGAAGGAGAGGAGAAGGAAGAAGGAAGCACAGTGAAAGAAATGTAACAGTAGCCTGGGCTTTGTTTTGTTCCAGTTTTACTTTTAACATTTATTCATCTTTTTGAAGGAATAGAGTGGGGGGGGGAAGGGAGCAGGGAGAAGAGAACTACAGAAGTCAAGCAAGGATCAGCTCTGAGACTAGCAGCACAAGAGCCCCTGGATGTGAAAGCTTAGACCAGGCTCCCACAGATCATGATCAAACAAAAGTCGAATCTGCTCGACAATTGCAAGCCCTGTTTCTGTTTTTATCATTTGTTATTTAATTTGAAAGAGAGAGCAAGTGGGGCACCTGGGGGGCTCAGTCGGTTGAGCGTCCGACTTCGGCTCAGGTCATGATCTCATGGATTCGATCTCAACCTCTGCGCGTCGGGCTGGCTCTGTTGCTGACAGCTCACGAGCCTGCCCGGTTACCTGTGTCTCCCTCTCTCTCTTCACCCCTCCCACTCATAGCTCTGTCTCTCTCTGTCAAAAATAAATAAACATTACTTTTTTTGGAAGAGCCTGGGTGAAGCGCTGATCGAGTTGGCGTCGACTTCAGCCAGATCGCGATCTCGCGGTCCGTGATTTGACCCAGCGTCAGGCTCTGGGCTGATGGCTCCAGAGCCTGGAACATATTTCACATTCTGTGTTCCTCTCTCTGCCCCTCCCGTTCGTACTCTGTCTCTCTCTGTCCCAAAAATAAATAAACGTTGAAAAAAAAAAATTAAAAAAAAAAAATAATAAAAAATAAAAAAAATTTTTTTTTGAAAGAGAGAGCAAGTCAGTGTGAACAGGGGAGGCACAGAGAGAGACAGAGAAACCCAAGCAGGCTCCATGCTGTCACCGCAGAGCCCAATTTGGGGCTCTATCTCACGAACTATGAGATCACAACTTGAGCTGAAATCAAGAGACGCTCAATGGGCTGAGCCATTCAGGTGCCCTGTTTACGTTTTTTGTTTTTCAGTAGTTGCTGTTAATGGCCTTTTCCACTCTGTTGACATTTGCACTAATGGTACAAAAGCAATGCAGAGTAAAACTGTTACAGCCTGTGCAAAACTCAAGGCAGGGGCATTAAAACAAAGAAAACCAGTTCTGACTTCACAGACCCCCAAAAGGGTCTCACAGATTGCCCTCTTCCCCAGAGGCCTAGGAATCACACTTTGAGACCCACTGCCCTAGGGGGGTTACGACAGCAAAAGTAAAACAGCTCCTGGAGAGAACGGAGAACACGGCAACAATCTGGCCTGCTCCTTTGATCTATTTAGATCCAGTTCCAAGACAATGATAAATTATAATTATGTACTGAATTCTCCTCTGGAAATGAGAATACAACACAGGGTTTGGGACAGCCAGCCTCCAAGATGGCCTCCAAAGGTCCTCACGGCCTGGTATTTACCCTGCTGGTCAATATCTGTGTGACCAATAGAACAGATCAGGAAAGAGGTTCATTTCAGAGATTAGGTTGTAAAAGACACTACAGCTTCTATCTTGGTGTCTCTCTCTCCCTCCCTCCCTCTCTCTCTCTCTCTCTCTCCCCAATCATTCATTCTTTCATTCTGTGGGTAGCCAGTTACCAAGTCATGAGCAGCTCCACAAAGAGGCCCAAGTCCTTTTTTTTATGTTTATTTATGAGAGAGAGAGAGAGAGAGAGCGCAAGCATGAACGGGGTAGGGACAGAGAGAGAGGGAGACACAGAATCTGAAACAGGCTCCAGGCTCTGAGCTGTCAGCACAGAGCCCGACGCAGGGCTCAAACCCATGAACTGCAAGATCGTGACTAGAGCCAACGTTGGATGCCTAACCAACTGAACCACCCAAGTGCCCCCAGAGGTCCAAGTCCTAAGGAACAGAAGCCTCCTGTGAACAGTTACTTGTGTGAACCTGGAAGCAGACTGCCTGGGCCCCAGTCAAGCCTTCAGGTGACTACAGCCCTGACAGACTGGCTACAACCTCATCAGAGACACTGAGCCAGAACCTCCTAGCTAACCACTCCCAGATTCCTGACCCTTGGGAACTCTGTGGGATAATAAATGTTTTAAGCTGCTAAGTTTTTTAAACAACATGAATAACCAATACACTCTCCTTCCCTCAAGAGTTCCAAATACCCACAGTTATCATGATAAGCACTGAGTATTGTACAGAAGTACTGAATCACTACACTGGACACCTGAAAGTAATATAACACTGTACATTAACTATACTGGAATTAAAATTAAAACCTGAATAACACAAAAGAGTTCAAAATTAGTAGTAATATTCAAGAGTATCAAAAAGTTGGGGCACCTGGGTGGCTCAGTCGGTTAAGCGTCCGACTTCGGCTCGGGTCATGATCTCACCGTTCATGAGTTCAAGCCCCATGTCAGGCTCTGTGCTGACAGTCAGACCCTGGAGCCTGCTTTGGATTCTGTGTCTCCCTCTCTTTGCCCCTCCCCCACTCGTGCTCTGTCTCTCTCAAAAATAAACATTAAAAATTAAAAAAAAAAAAGAGTATCAGAAGACAACAACAAAGGCTCAGAACAGGAAAATATTTTCTATGAGCTAAAGAGTTGAGAGGTTTCACGATGGAGCCAGAACTTCAATGGAGTCTTCAAGGAAAGGCAGGCTTTAGCTAAGTGGATACAAACACTCCAGGGAGGAAGAATCCAGCATGGCAATGTGACAGCTTGAAAGAGGAGAGCTCTTGGGCAAAGCTGGGAGATGATGTGGTAAATCTGAACACAGGTCAAATTAAAGAGGGCTCTGAATATAAGACTAAGTTTAGCTTTTATCTTGTAAGCAACAGGCACTGAAGGTTTCTGAACTGGGAAGTAATATAATTAAAGCTGTAATTACGAGAAAGTATTTAGAGCTCCCTCACCCCCACCCCACTGCCACGAGCTTTCTTTATGGAGAACCATTATTAATATACCTGTACTGGCCTAAGATATACCACATCTTAATCTCATTTTGATGAAGGTATGAATCACTAATAGAATAAAATGGTGTCTACAAAAATCAAATTCAAATGGAGAGTTAATTCTAGAATAATCTAAAAACTCTAAATTAGGGGCACCTGGGTGGCTCAGTCGGTTAAGCATCTGACTTCGGCTCAGGTCATGATCTCACGGTTCGTGAGTTCAAGCCCCACCTCAGGCTCTGTGCTGACAGCTCAGAGCCTAGAGCCTGCTTCAGATTCTGTGTCTCCCTCTCTCTCTGCCCCTCCCCTGCTCATGTGCTCGCTCTCTCTCTCCCTCTCTCTCTCTCTCTCTCTCAAAAATAAACAAACATTAAAAAAATTTAAATAAAAATAAAAACTCTAAATTGTGTCCTATCTACCAGAGCATTTATAATTTTACTATTTAAATTGACATTTTAAAATTAATACCCTTCATGTTCAAAATCTTTGTGTGATCCCAGCCAAATTCAGTGTTGGCTAAACATATACTATGTTAAAATAAAGAATTATTTTAACTCTTAGTGTTAAACTCTGGCTACTCCCTAAGCAGGATCTTGGAAACACCTTTCTGTACTTCTTTGATATCCTCTTACTTGATATCAATGTTCAAGTCTACGATAACACCTTGACCTCTTTGGGGTAGAGATACTAGAAAAATTCAAATATGAAATTATACCAAGGTGCCTATGCTGTACTTAGGCTCACACTCTTCCCTGATTCTAAAGTTAATATAAGTCCTCATTTTACATTCTCTTCATTAAAAAGTCAAACAAAATACATGCCTCCAGAGGAATTTTTGGAAATATGACCACGGGCAGGATGGCATCTACTCTCACAGTAAATACTTACTGTGTGAGAACCGTTGAGTGATCGGGGTTCCAGGATAAGGGTAGGTCCGACTCTCCCATTGAATGTTTCCTTCCTGGACAGCCTTTATGAAACCATGATAACACTGGTGGGCTACACCTAAAGACAAAAATAACAAATGCTTCAGCCTGGATACTTCACTTTTCAACCAAATTATTAAAACTGCATCTATTAGCTGTCACATAACTTCTATAAAACCCAAGTTTCTTATTTTTCATTCAAAGTAAGAAACAGAATTTCAAAAGTAGAAGATCCAATCCTTTCACTTTACAAAGGCTCAGGGTGGCTAAGTGTTACAACGGTCAAGGTTACAAAATCAGCTCACACTATAACTCTGCTCCCCTTTATGTCATATCTTAAAGCAACACATTAAAATAACTGGTAGAGGCACCTGGCCGGCTCAGTCAGCAGAGCATGCGACCCTTGATCTCAGAGACATAAGTTTGAGCCCCACGATAGGCATAAAGTTTACTTTAAAAATAAGTAAATAACTGGGGTGCCTAGGTGGCTTACTCAGTTAAGCATCCAACTCTTGCTTTTGGCTCAGGTCACGATATTGTGGTTTGTGAGACAGAGCCCCAGTCAGGCTCCATGCTGACAACACAAAGCCTGCTTGGGATTCTCTCCCCCCGTCCCCCACTCACACTTTTTCTCTGACTCTCTCAAAATAAATAAATAAGCTTAAAAAATAAAATTAAAATTAAATTAATTTAACTAATTGGAATTGTTTAAACAAAGCAAAGGGACTGGGGGTAATTTAGCTTTGGGAGAAAGAGCACGGTAAAACAGCGTCTGGAATATAAAAAACAGGTGTTCATAAATGCCTATGGTTAGACCATGGGAACCAAGAAGCATATTCCATCTTAATAAATGAAGAGACAATAATTAGCTTACACTGAATTATGAAATGATGAATTTACAACTAAGGAAAGCTGTTTTAAAAAGTGAGCGCTTGTACTATAATGGTGGATACATATCATTACACATTTGTTCAAACCCACAGAATGTGCACCCCAACGTAAACTCTGGACTTCGGGTAATGATGATGTGTCCATGCAGGTCTGTCAACTGCAACAAATGCACCGGGGTATGTTGATAGTAGGGGAGGTTGTGGATGTGGGAAAACAGGAAATGTCTGACCTTTCTGCTCAATTTTGCTGTGAATCTAAAACCACTCTAAAAAATAAAGTCTATGGGGGCGCCTGGGTGGCTCAGTCAGGCGAACGTCTGACTTGGGCTCAGGCCATGATCTCACGGCTCATGATTTCAAGCCCTGCTTTGGGCTCTCTGCTGTCAGCATGGAGCCTGCTAGGATCTTTGGAGCCTTTGTCTCCCTCTCTCTGCCCCTTCCTAGCTTGAGCTCTCTTAAGAAAGAAAGAAAAATAAAAGTCTTTGTTTTTTAAAAGGTGAGAGCTTCATGTTTCTGGAACAATCTATGTTTTTAACACATGAAATGACTACCTTATTTCAAAGAGCAACATTTTGAATGAAGAGTACAATAATTTATGTTACACTTTGAAAGAATGTATCATTTTTAATTCATGTCACCTTAGTGGATCCTTAAGCAGGATCACAGTATTTAAAAATGTTTTCCAATGATGATTACTATCCTTTGGCTGAACTCACAGTTAAGAACTGGAATATTAAAAGATAGTCATCTTTAATGTGTGACTACAGTGCCAACTATACTCTGATGAAGAAAGTAACAGATTTGAAAATGTTGAATTGAGGTAAGGCAGTAATGAATAAGGGACAGATACATAATGATAGAGAGGGGGAAAGAAGAAGCTATCCTGGCAGTGACTTCCTTCTCCCAGAAGATCTAAGACTGTGAGTGCTAGGTTAGGGTTCCTCCCTCTTTAAAATAAAAAAGTGTGTGTGTGTGTGTGTGTGTGTGTGTGTGTGTGTGTGTGTATAAATGTATGTATATGTATGTATGTATGTATGTATACATATATGTATGTGCATATATACATACATATGTATATATACATACCATATGCACATATCTATGTGCATATGTTATATATATATATACACACACATACATACATATCAAAACAGTAAGAATGCCATATAAAACCAAGAATAAACTCGTAACTTTGATTAGTTCATAGCCCCTCATCTGTGATTCTTCCACCTCTATTTTAGAGGTGAAATCATCTATTTTCACAGGGTAAGCATTCAATCTCTACTGAAGGGTCCATTAAATCTGCAAAGAGAAAGCAAGCATTACCAGTTGTAAGCAGATGAGCACAGGACCCAGCAAACGGTTTCAACACAGCTGGTCCTCAGCCTTCTAGGTTGGGTTCTGAGCAATTGACAATGACCCCATGCCCCATGAGAACCACCCTGATGAAAGGAAATGATTTTAAGACTGATTCTGATCTAAAGGTTTTTTCCTGTCATATTTCTGACTGCCTGTTCCCACTAGGAAGGAACAAACTGCTTGATCAAAGTTTATTCAACTGGCTTGGTCTTCATTCAAAAATGGGCCCTTTCCAGTTAAAATGTAACTGTAAATGTAAAACTGTAAATGTAAAAAAAATAACTGCTATCTATTAAATTAAAAATACACCACCCCTGGTAAGTACAACATTTAGCTAAAGTTGAAAACTTGATTAGAAAATGGAAGACGGGTGTGTGGGTGGCTCAGTCTGTTAAGCTGCTGGCTCTTGATTTTGGCTCAGGTCACGGTTCTTGGGATCAAGCCCTGAGTAGGGCTCTGTAGACTGACAGTGAGGAGCCTGCTTGGGATTCTCTTTCTCCCTCTGACCCTCCCCAATTCATGCTCACTCGTGTGTTCTCTCTCTCTCTCCCTCTCAAAATAAATAAACATTGAAAAAAAAACAAAAGCAGGGGTGCCTGGGTGGCTCAGTTGGTTAAGCATCTACCTTCAGTTCAGGTCATAATCTCATGGTTCGTGAGTTTGAGCCCTGCATCTCTGCTGTCAGCACAGAGCCTGCTTCAGATTCTCTCTTTCTCTCTCTCTCTCTCAAAAATAAATAAAAGTTAAAAAAAAGAGAGAGAGAAAAATGGGGAGAAAAAGAGGAGAAACTCATTTTTAAAAGTACAAGAGGGACGCCTGAGTGGCTCAGTTGGCTAAGTGTCCGACTTCGGCTCAGGTCATGATCTTGCGGCCCATGAGTTCGAGCCCCTTGTCAGGCTCTGTGCTGACAACTCAGACCCTGGAGCCTACTTCAGATGCTGTGTCTCCCTCTCTCTCTGCCCCTTTCTCACTCACATTCTGTCTCTCTCTCTCGAAAATAAACATTAAAAAAAAACATTTTAAAAAGTAAAAGATATGCATAGAGCCTTTATCACTTAGAGATAAAATAAAGCAGTAAATACTTGCACAATCCCATATTTGCCACAATTAGCTACTTTAAGAAACAAAATGATATCCTCTTAAAGAACACGGACACTAAAGCCAGACTGCCTGAATGTGGATCTTCCATCCCCCGTGATACCCGTGTGACCTTGGGTAAGTTACTTAACTGTGCCTCTCACACTCTTGTTTCTTCACCTGTTCACAGTTTTCTGTGAGGATAGTAAAGCAGTCACAACAGTGGCTGACAATGGTAAGAGGTATATTAACATTAGCTGTACTGTTATCCCACATCCGTCCCTGCTTCGTCTGTTCAAGAACAACACAATTTACCAGACCAACTCTAAGAATATGCAAAAAAAGAATCCACATTTTAAAACGGCAAGTTGGATCAAATACTACAAAACCCAAGCTGTTCATAAAACTAACCAGAATTAAGAGAAAAGGAAAATGTACAGTTAATTGTCTAACACTAAATTTGAGAACCACAATAAATTTAAGGGAGAAAGGAGAAAATGAAACTGGGACCTTAAAAATAAACCATTAAAACAAATTTAAATAGATAAATAAGCCTTCCACTTTGCACAGTACCTTTGATAAGTCGATACCACTGTTTGCAGACAAGGGCTGCAGTTTTGTGTTCCTGGTATGGTGAAAGAAAGGACAGGATATACTCCAAAACCTCTTCTGGCAGCTCAGACATGGGCCTATTATGTCTAGTCTCTTCAACCTCCAGTACTGGGTGGGGCTCCTCATCTTGCTCCATTGTCCCTTCCAGCACAGTTTCTTCTTGGTCCACGGCCATGAAACTGTCATCTTCACTGTCCGAGGAGCTGGCCATGACATTCCACTCAACAGCTATAGTGGGAAATGAACAAACATCAGTATACACTGTCAGAAGCTCTGAAATAACTCAGGCACATGCATCCAAGCTGCACATGATATTTTCTAGACCCTCGGTGTGAAATCTGTTCTCCAGCACTTTCCCACACTAGTTGAGAGCCACCTTAATTTGACAGGTAGAGCTCAAATACCAAGCCCATCCCAAATATCTAACAAATCCCTAAAGGCTTCTTTATTTATTTATTTTTTTTTTGAGGCTTACTTATTTGAGAGACAGAGAGAATGCATGCAGGATGGGCAGAGAGAGAGGGAGAAAGAATCCCAAGTAGTCTGCACACTGTCAGTGTGGAGCCAATGCGGGACTCGATCCCAGGATCATGACTTAAGCTGAAACCAAGAGTAAGACACTCAACCAACTGAGCCACCCAGGCACCCCTAAAAGCTTCTGATTATATTTTTTCTCTCCACTGTAAATCAGAATGACAGCCGAGTTCTGGCATAACCATAAAACACGAAAGTTGTTCCGTAACAGCTCCTCTAAGGCAAGCATTTGACTGGCAGACAGCAAAAGGAACAGCAACTAAACTCCCTTGGCCAGTAACATGATTCAAGACCTCAGACTTCAAAGGAAAAACTAACTGAGGGTCCTATAAAGAGTAGTAAGAACATTCTGAGGATGTGGATTAAGAAAAGTTTTTCTTACAAAGTCTTCTTACATAAGACAATTCACTTACAAGGATAATAAACGTTCCAAGAATAGGCTTACCCAGCTAAAATACCAAATACTAGGCAACATTTGTATTAGAAAACATCAAAACAGATCTAGGGAGTAAGAAACCAGAAATAATATATATGCCCATCAACAATGTTACAGATAAATTGTGGTCCATTCACACAATGGAACTTCTGCTAGACACCCACACAGGTAACTCTCAAACACAACACTGAACCAAAGACAGAAGAGTGAATACTACATGGCCACGCTTATATCAGATTCAAAACCAGGTAAAATTAATTCATGCTCTTCAAAGTGAGTGCCGCAGGGGTGCTGGTGAAGTTGTTTCCTGATTGGGTAATGTTATACGGATATGTTCAGTTTGTCATAAATTCACCAAGATGAGCACTTAATGTTTAATGCACTTCTCTAAAGTTTATCAAAATAAGCCATTATCAAGTTACCTCTTGTGAAGGTATTTAAAAAAATCATTATGATTGAGTTTTAATTTCTCTATTCCCTAAATTTTCTAGAAAGAGCACAACATGTTGAAATATACATGCAGAGGCAGGCAACTCACTCACACCATTCCCATGATGTTTCATGCACAGCCTGGGATAAAAAACAGTAAAATGAAGGGAGTAGGGTGATTTATGTAAGAAGTGTGTCACAGGTTATATTATCCAGGAAGCAAATGCTAAAAAAACAAAATTCGGAATGAAAAAAATGTTTCATGGGGAGAAGTCTTGTGAGAAGAAAAAAGAAGGAAGCAGGACTGGGCGGGGGGAGCAGAGTGTGATGCAGATTTGACAACGCCTGGAACAAGGCGGCCATTTAGAAGGCTCCAGAATGCAGCATATCTGTCATTGCTCTGCTCAGCCACTGGCTGGGGGGCTGCTCCAAAGCTGAGGCTGACCCTGAAAAGACTAACAGCTTTCTTCAGTTACACTCCTTACAGATGGGCAGGAAGTCTTTTCTTGAAAGGACATCTGAGTTTGTTTTCTTATTTTCTAATACACCTATTCCCCTTGACCACACATACCTACCCAGACCATTCACTATGCCATTCACCTTACAAATTTCCAGCATTGCCTCTAGCACTGATGTAAAGAACAAAAAATAATGGGAAGAGAAGAGTGATTCTGAAATACACTTGGGGTTTTGAGAAAGATTTGAAATGTTCCAGGGGCACCTGGCTGGCTCAGTCAGCAGGGCATGCTACACTTGATCTCAGGGTTGTGAGTTCGAGGCCCACATTGGTTACAGAGATTACTTAAAAAAATAAAAAACTTTTTTTATTATAATTTTTTAAAAAGAGAGATAGGGCAGGGGAGGGGGCGGGGGGGAGAGAGAGAGAGAGAGAGAGAGAGAGAGAATCTTAAGCAGGCGTGGAGCCTGTTGTGGGGCTTGATCTCATGACCCAGGACTATGACCTGAGCTAAGATCAATAGACGTACACTCAACTAACTGAGCTGCCCAGGCACGCACCCCCAATAAAATCTTTAAAAAACAAAACAAAACAAAACAAAACGAACAAAGATCTGAAATGTTCCCAAAGGTGAGGGGGACAAGGAAAGCAAAGAAGGGAAGCTTCCCACCTCACCTTGCCACTCCTATAAATCATACAGGAAATCGCGTACATCTTAAGAACTGGAAGGATGATCACATTAAGGAAAATGAAAACATGAATCAAGTCATGAAACTGCTTCCAAGAAACTCATCTATCAAATTAGCTCATGATAAGACAATGCATCCTGGCAGAGTGGCTGCTGGAGTCCTGCTGATGGTGAAGGACTGGTGGCGAGCTATACACATAGTGGGGCAGCCGAAATCCCCCCCCTCCCCCGTTGGGGCAGCAGCAGAGGAAGGTGGTGGCAATGTCTTCCACTCCCCTGCAGCAGGGAAGAAGTGTTTACTGTAGGTTTACTGTAACCATAGCACATAAAGGATCCTAGATAGTTGCTCCCCACTTTGGGTGAGCGGTTCTTCCACATGCTTAACTTGCTAGAGGAGGTCTTTCCATTTCCAGGTCCAACACCTACCCGAAAGAGTACAGTTTGGGGTACAATATAAAACAAAAATTAAAAATTTTTTCTGGGGGATAAAAAAGGTACCTTTTACTACTGGAAAAAAATTACTTCCCGTATTCCCTCTTTTTCTCCCCTCTACAAGTTATCATTTCTCACCTCTCACTGGCTATCTTCCCTAATTTATTGACTTTCTCATATTTTTAACTCCCACTCGGCTCTGGAATTCACCAAGGAAAAGAGTCCAAAGAAACAGATTCCTTAAGTTTGGCTGCATCTTTCACATTTGAATTAAACATAGGATCTCAAATATAGTTGTTCTTTACTCAACAACTCGACAGACTGTGAGTCTAGGGTCTGCTTCAGAACAAACTGAATCAATGAAGACTGCAAAAGGTTATTTGTATAATACTATTTTTCCCCCAAGCAAAATAAATTTGTTTGGCTCAATAAAACAACTTCTGGGGCGCCTGGGTGGCGCAGTCGGTTAAGCGTCCGACTTCAGCCAGGTCACGATCTCGCGGTCCGGGAGTTCGAGCCCCGCGTCAGGCTCTGGGCTGACAGCTCGGAGCCTGGAGCCTGTTTCCGATTCTGTGTCTCCCTCTCTCTCTGCCCCTCCCCCGTTCATGCTCTGTCTCTCTCTGTCCCAAAAATAAATACATAAACAAAAAAAAATAAAAATAAAAAAAAAAATAAAACAACTTCTTACTCCCTTTAGTAAGCCTACATAAAGGGATGCAAACTTTTGTAATGCCCAGTTTTAAGTAACTCTCACCATTCAACCATTTTACTGTCCACAAAAGCACCAAACCCGATGCTCCTGGGGGCATGTTTGCGAACTTGGCCTTGAGCACAAATGCCAGTGAGAACACACAGGGATGGGCTCAGATGTAATTCCTTGTAATTACACGTCCAGCACCAATTTGCACGGTCCCTCATTTTCACTTCCATGATTAGGTAATGAAATCATCACTCACATTCCCACAGGATATGGAGGCATTTTGAAACAGTTTTTTTCATGCCAAAAGAAGCCCTATAAAACATTTCACATGCAATTGTTGTTAACTCACCGAATGTGGTTTTCATGAAGTATTTATTATTTTTTAGGATTTTATTTTCAAAGTAATCTCTACACCCAGTGTGGGACTCGAACTCAAGACTTGCATGCTCTACAGACTGAGACAGCCAGGTGCCACGGTTTTCATGGAGTCTTTATTTATTTATTTTTTAAAGATATATATATTTTTTAAGTAATCTCTAGACCCAACATAGGGCTCAAACCAACTCTGAGATCATGAAGTCTTTAAAAAAAAAATCTTCCATACCCTTCACGTTTGTGTGAAGCCTTCTTAGTTTCCCCAAGTTTTGAGGACAAACATCAAACGAAGTCGGTTTACTGGAATCTGAGCTTCTTGAGGGCAGAGACCATTTGCCTGGCCATCTTGTCTCGCTAGCACTAGACATTCAAATTAGCACAAGGACTCACAACACCCTTGTGCTGACTTCCTGTTATTTTATAATCGAATACATCGTCAGTACATCCAGGAGTAGCAGACCCTACCCTTACATGTTACGGGCTGCTGTCAAGGTATTTTATTGGTCAGAATGGACATCTCTCTCTGGTCCCTTGAATTTTGGCCTTTTAAGGTGTATACTGGCCTGTGAGTCTGCTGCCGGACTCCTGAGCCAGACCCAATGACCCTTGGCTAGGTCAAGATGGGTGGTACTAGAGAAACCATTTATTTGGCCCAGTAGTATCACTACTATACTATACTATACTATACTATACTATACTATACTATACTATATACAGTATACTACCAGACCACATCCAACTGAATACAAATCACTTCCAAAAATCCAAATGCCCTGGGGCACCTGGCAGGCTCAGGCAGTAGAGCATGTGACTCTTGATGGCAGGGTCAAGCCCCGCATTGGGTGTAGAGTTTATTTACCAAAAAAAAAAAAAAAAAAAAAAAAAAAAAAAAAAAAAAAAAAAAAAAGATCCAAATACCTTGCCCTTCTGAAGTATAAACTAAGGTTAAGATTTTGAGATGGAGAGTCTGCCTATATAATGCTGTGTGATCCAGGGTAAGTCACACAGAACAACGTGTGAAAACCCTCTTTACCCGTAAGTAATGAAAATTCCCTACCAATATGAAGATTCTATAATGGTAGCAGATATCAACAAACTACTCTGAACTCCTTGGAGGAAAGTGATTAACTTGGAAAGAGTTAAAATCAATTCACAGAAATTCAGGATGGGAACAAAA